TGCATGAGTTAGCTCATACTATAGAAGTAACTCAATACGGTTTGTGGCTGTTTCCAGACAGCTGAGTAAGGGCCTGAGTATTAACAGCTGTCAAATGAGTCTTCTGTGCCTTCAACCCCCATCCCAACCCCCAAGGCTAGTCTTTGAACGATTCAGAGAAAAGTCAGAATGTTAAAGAAGAAGGCCAGAGCAGGTAATATGACAAACGGATGTTGGTCTTAAGTACACTGACTAGCTATTAATTCACAAAACAGTCTGAAAAGATTTGTGATGCAAGCTGACTTCTGTCTAGACAGAGAAGGGAGTGTAAAACACATTAGACAGATACACATGGCAGTGACAAGAAAAACCTGTTTCAATTGCACAAATGGTTTGGGAGGGAATATATTTCCTTCTTTATCTAAGCATCTAATTCCTACTGGGGGTCTATCTAGGTACTAGTGAGATTCATTCTAATTTTTACAGCTCTGAAACAACTTGTACATGAATAAGAAAAGGATGTATAGTGAAGATAAAGGGAAAAAGAGTAATAGAATGAGGGAGAGATGGGGACAGAGAGGGACAGATCAAGAGTGAAGGTGTCTAAGCAATCTACACAGGACAGGTAGATTGCTCCATAGCTGGAAGTCTGCCCCATGAGCAAAGGGGAAAAGGCAGCTGAAATAGAGAAGGGATCACTAAGAAAATGATGGTTGGAGGAATCGGTCGGGATGGGAGATGTGTGCAAAAAGTAGATAAAGGACCAAACATGGTAACTTCTCAGTGTCTGTATTGCAAACCACAATGCCCAAAAGTAGAGAGAGATTATAGGGAATATTGTCTGCCATGGAGGCAGAGGGATGGTTGGAAAGGAGAGGTATACAGGGGATATTGGTGGTGGGGAATGTGCACTGGTGGAGGGAAGGGTGTTTTATCATTGTGTGATTGTAACCCAAACATGAAAGCTTGTAACTATCTCACGGTGATTCAATAAAATTTTTTTTTTAAAAAGAGTGAAGGTGTCAGAGGAAGCAAAGAGCACAGGTAATAAAATAAAATGTTTAAATCTGTTCCTGAATTGCCAAGGCTATTTATATTTAGGCATTTGGAAAACATCACTGACCAAAGTCTATAAAAGTGATCTCTTGTTTCAAGTGCTTTGTAGTCATATCTGTTTTTCTCCTTTCCAGTCACTAGCAGGGCTAGAACAATAACTAGGGATGCCTCTTCCTCTACACATTATATGTGGTTGAAAAGTTGAGCAGTCTATTATACAAAATCATCAATGAGCTCTTGTAGAGGAAGTAAACAATGCAAAATATATTTAATTTCTTTCCCTGACAATGTTAACGGTCAACTTCTAGGTCAACAGAAGAAGTAAGTATGGCTACCAGTACAAAAATAACAGTAATCAATTTTGTTAGGCATGTCAAAATATTGTTTAAATACAAGTATGCTTTAACACTTGTTTGTTCTGAAGTTCTCACTCATACTAAGTCATAAAAGCAGTCATTTGAATCGTCATCCATGTGTTCAGAATTTTTTTGTTTAAAAAATATGATCATGGATTTTATTTAATGCTACATGCCAATTGTGGATTTCCTGAGGCACAGCATTTTAATGCTCCACTGTAAAAGAGAAAGGAGCAATTGGAGTAGTGTCATGGTAAATACAATCATAGAGAAATTATCAGCAGTCAGGGAAAACTAGTTGTGTTTCGTTTTTAAAAGCTCCTGACAATATATGGCTTTTTTCCCAGGTATTGACAGATTTGTTTAAAAGATTTCTCTGCCAAGAAATATTTGTTTTCAGCCAATGCAATTATTGTGGTTGGAACCAAGGAGTCTTTTCTTAAATGCTTTCAGATCTAACTAAAGGGAAAATTCTGCAAACATGGAGAGACTAACTTTTTCTTTGCTTCATTGCTAGAAGATGTGGTTTATAGGAGGTCTTCCATATCTTTCTCTATTCTTTGCCATTTAAACTCAAAGGCATCAAGATCTAGAGTTCATATTATTGTATCAAGCTGCTATGAACTAATTTTATTCAATAACTTATGATTGAAAGTATATTGCAGATGTTAAAAAGCAAACTTCATCTGAAACAGGAATGTTTGTGATGTGAAAACTCAGAGGCTGACAAAAGGGGATATGGAATAAGTTCCCACTGTTCCGACTTACCCAAATACCCAAAATTCATTCTTTTCAGTTAGTATATTGTGTGATCTTAATCATTAAGCAGGTGCATCCTTAGAAATGAAACTACAGAGTTTCTAGGAAGTGTTTTGAATTTTCAGAAGATTGTTAGTCTGAGGTTTTCCAACAAAATCATGGGAACGTTGAATCAACCATCATCACCCATACAGGTGATGACAATGGGTAAAAATATTGTGAAAAGACAATGCAGGAATTTTCCTTTTTACACTCATGCAGCAGTAAAAAGCAGTTTTAAAATCCATTCCAACAGTAAAATATTTTTAGAAAATTTTGCCCAAGATTTTAGTTTTATTTGTACATAAAACATTGAAAGTCACCAATCGCTCCACAGGTTTGCTCATGTCAATGTATTTTCAGATAAAAGAGATATACAGTGCCTTTCTTCTTTTTTCAACTATTTATATCATATCTGTGCCTCTACCTATGACAGTAATGCAGAGAACAAGCTCTAATTTCCATAAGATTTACAGACTAGCTCATGCAGTAGACAGCCTCAGAAATTCCAAGTACCCATGTATCAGGACCACCAGCTTCATGCAACTTTACACAAAGACATCGAAAATAAAATATCAAGCTGTGTATATCCATGATCTGGAAAGTAAGATCAAGTGATTGCAGTGCTTGATGTGGTGATAGCTACATTCAGTGATGTGACATGCTCTATTTGTAACTCATGACAAGGAGGCAGATCCAGTTGTTCCTCAAGGGTTTCTATGTAAAAGTAAGGTAAAAGTAAAGACCCTCCCGTTGATCATCGATTTGCTCGAGCGGGCCCAGTGACGTCTCCATTGGAGACTTTGTTGTTACTGTGTCTGGCATATCGAATACTCTCGGTAGCTTGCCGGGCTCTCCGAGAGGGGTGGAGGAATCGAACTCGGGTCGGCCATGTTGGCTGCGTGCAAGGCAGACGCCCTACCTGCTGTGCTATCGCTCCTATGTAGCATCCTTTTATTTATTTGCTTATTTACTAGTTTCAGGGCCACATGAGAAGATGGTCAGAACTTCCTCTTGGCTCTGAACTCAGGATCCCTCCTGGTGGTGCTTGGGGCCCATAAAGAGTGCCAGGGGTTGAATCTATGTCTGCCGACTTCAAAGGCAGTGTCCTGCCCAAGTACTATTGCTCTAGCCCCCCAAAAAATGACAGGGTTTTCTTCTTTTCGTGTGTGTATGTGTGTGTGTGTGTGTGTGTGTGTGTGTGTGTCTGTGTGTGTGTTGGTGTGTGTTGGGGACCACACCTACCTGTGTTCAGGGAGTACTCCTGGCTCTGTGCTCAGGGCTCATTCTTGGCAGCACTTGAGGCATCAAGTGGGGTGCCAGGGATCAAACCCAGGTGGCCAGCGTATGTCCCACTGTACTATTTCTCTGGCCTGCTACTCAATATCTCTCTCTCTCTCTCTCTCTTTTTATGAATCACCACGAGATACAAACTTATAAACTTCTGTGCTTACGTTTCAGTCATACAATGATCAAGTACTCATCCCTTCACCAGTGCCCATTCTCTACCACCAATGTTCCCAATATCCCTCCCCCAAACCCCCCAACCCTCTGCCTCTGTAGCAGGTCATGCCCTTTCTCTCTCTCTCTCTCTCTCTGTTGTGGTTTGCCAAACAGGCATTAAGTGGCCATCGTGTTTGTCTATAGTCTACCTTCAGCACACATCTCCCATTCTGAGTGGTCCCTCCAAGCATCCTTTACTTAGTGGTCCCTTCTCTATCTGAGCTGCCTTTTCCCCAAGCATGTGAAGCTGGCTTCCAAGCCATGGAGTAATCCTCCTAGTCCTTATCTCTACTATCCTTGGGTGATAGTCTCTCCTTCTGTTACTTTATATTCTACAAATGGCTACTCAGCTTCTTGGAACTTTTAAATGTGCCTCCACTCTGCGCTGAACTACTCACCCATACTCAGATGGGAGAGCCTCAGGACTGCCTGCAGTTGGTTGAGCTGCCAGAGCCCAGGGAGCCTGCAAGGACCCAGGAAAGGGACAGGACAGGCCCTAGGACAAGTGGTGGAACTGCTCAGTGTTGAAGCTGAGCCACAGAGTGGTAGATCCTTCCCTTTAGCAGGAGTAAGTGAAGCTGTTGGCTTTGCTGATGGGGGGAATACAATAAAAAAATAATGTCAAGGAGGAATGAGGACATTCCTAGACACAATCTTTTGTTTCCTTTACAAACATGGCTTTAGCCCATGAGGAGTTGTAATTATTTGAGAAGTCTGAGGCAAAAGAAGAGCTGGCCTCCTTGCTTCTGGATTATATGACATGATGCCAAGGTCAACTGACCTGGTAATGGAGAGATCCCAGGGCAAGATGACTTTCTTCCAGCTTGCAGGCTAGTAAAACTTTATGGCTCAGGGCATGTAAATGAGAAATGCCTGGGGGTCCATTCGCTTACCTCTTGGGCTGTTCTCCCATGAACTCCCTTTCTGAGCTGGGAAAAGAGTGACTCCTGGGCTTAGGCTGGAAATAGACTGCAGCAGCTTGTTCTTTTCTACTACAACGTTACAAGGATGTTTTTTCATCTTTAATTTCACTTGCCTTCAGAGTATAAAAGACTATGTTTTAAAAATGCCCGAGTCACTGAGCCTGACCTTCTTGTCTGAGTGGAACTTCATGTTTTCCTAATAAAGCAGCTGATGTAAAATGCAGTGTCCAGACCCCATGATAAAGGAGATATTGTCTTTTAGGGGGTTTCACATTTCCAGGGAACTGCAAAAACACTGTTCGGCTTATGGCTTTACAACAGAAACAAAGAACCATTGAAAGTCCAAAGATACAAAAGCCACAGAAGAAAGGCAAAAGCTCCTTACCAGGTTCAACTGTGGATCGAGGTTCTGTTCGCCACATGAGAAAAGAAAATAAATCAAAAACGGAGTATTAGAATTGGGTCCCATAAATAATAAACCTCCCTCAATTTTTCCATTTCCTTGCATAGGACATGTTTGCAGGAATGTGACTAACAAAATGCCTGATACAAAAGAGATAAAAGTGACAGTGGATCCAATAATATTTCTATAAACACAGAAATTTAAATTGCAGCTACACTCAAAAGGAATTTTAAACAGAGGTTCACAAAAAGGTTTATAGGAACTTGCAAAGCTTTTGAGGGTATCTGACCAACTTTGAGAGTTTTCACCTAACTCTGAGTCCAAATGAATGTCTGATTTTTTTTTTCATGAAAAGAGACTAGGTAATTTGCATCAGAGTTTCAAAGTGATCTGCAAAGCACTGACCACAATTCTACCTTCCTGATTCCACACTTTGAGGACCATCAACTCTCTCACTCTGAAAACAGAAGTCAATTCATCGGAATTACTAAATCCTCTTTAGGTTTCCTGAAGCCAGAGAGAAGAAAATGGTTCTCCTGGAAGAACTGGCACCTTTCCTTACTTTTTTGCAGGATTCGGAAATCTGGAGAGTCTTGGATTTCACTCCCTTGTCGGAACCACTGGACCTGCAAAGGGGGTGCTCCTCGGACACGGCACTCCAGAACCACCACCTGACCCTCTGATGCTGCTATGTTCTGCAGTTCCTGGAAGTCAAGGGAAAACAGTCATGTCTTGAGATGGATTCTGAAAAAACTTCCCAACAGAGAGTAACACTTCCAACTTTTGGAGAAAAAAATAAAACCTACTACACTTACATCATAAAATAATTACCCAAAGTTGGGTGAGGGTACGCAGTTATATATATATTATTTAACCACTTTTCATGATCTCTAGGAAATGAAACTAGAAAGATTTCCTTAGAAATGTTCAGGTAGCTTGTAAATTTCTTGACTCTCTTCTATTTATGGGATTTTATAGCAACACATATTTCCTTTATTGAAGGGTAAGTTGGTGGGATGCAAATCTATTAATATAGTTACATTCTAAATAAGTGTAGGTTCCTACAAAAACCAGATAGGGAGAAAAGAAAAGATAACATGCATATGGATCCTGTCACCTCTGCCTAAGGTGTCACGTCAGATGTATTAATATAAGGATTTTGGTACTTTCTCACTCTGAGGTTCTACCCCTTTGACCTTCATATTCCCTTCCCTTGCATTAATCCCCTTATCTTCAAACCCACTCCAAATCCAAAATCACTGGGAGAACCTGCAGAATGACATAGTAAAGAATCCAAAAGCAGACTCAGAGTCAATTTGTTGAAGTCACAATATGAAATCTACACCTTCAGCTTGGGATCTGGGGCTCTTGAGTGTCTTAGAGTCCAGATTAGGGCATCTCCTGTTATGCATTGAGTTCATCTGATACTCTGATTCTTTGGAAAGGGTTCACTGTTTGTGCAGGAAGGACCATATGAGACAAAGTTACTCCTTTGTCTTCATGTATGTCCCTTCATGTATGTCCCACAGCACTAACGCAATGTGCCCAACCAAAGCTGGTCCATAATAAGCCTAGTGACCCAGGGGTGGACACATCGGCTCTGCTCTGACTAGCCTGAAACCTTGGTCTTTCCCAGAGTGGGATGAGCATGAAGATGCAGGGGCTTGCCATCACTGTCACTTGCAAGCCCAAGGAAAGGCCAAGGTTATATCAAAGTCAATAAAAAGCAAATTTAAATGAAAAAGATGAGTTTGAGTCCTGAAGATGATCAACAGATTAGTTTTCTATACCAACCTTTCCAAAACCAGAGGCTAAGACAAAAAAAGTCCCATCAAGCAGGAGAAAAGCTGCCCCAAGGGCAAAAAAAGAGAAGTCAGAAGCCAGAAGAAGGACTGTCCATAAACATGAAAGCTTGTAACTATCTCATGGTGATTCAACAAAATTTTAAAAAAAGAAGAAGAAGAAGCCAGAAGGAAACACTGCTACAGGAAAGTAACTAGTAAAGTGTGTGCTTCTGCTCTCCCAACAAGGTGAAATGAAAAAAATCAGCCCTTAGGAGCCAGAGAGATAATACCGGTGGAAAGCATCTGTTTTGCATGCAGGTGACCCCTGCTTAATTCCTGGCACCACATGTGGTTTCCCAAATATTACCAAGGGTGACTCAGCATCCAAGAGTAACCCTTGAATAACGCAGGGAGTGACTAAAAGCACTCCCCCAATATCAAATTTTATAAAAATTTAGTATCTTGTTTTACTTCCTTTTTATTAAATTATATGGCTATTACCAAGAATACTCTACAATTTTCCTGGGGGAAAGAGACAAACATCACTAAGGAAATGCCTCAGGAGCTGGAGTGCAAAGAAAATCGGATATTATGTTTAATATGTGATACTTTCTCTGGAGCCCAGCTGGAATTCTGTAATATTCCCACAAGCCAGATTACATGATGAAAACCTGTGGTGAAGGAAAGCAATTTCTCATATTCTCTTTTTCTCTGATACAATTAACATGGACTTCATTATAGTAAGAGGTGCATTGGGCTGTCAACCACAAAATCAATAGTGTCTTGGGCATTAATATATCAGGTGACCAGACTTTCTGGTAATGGACTGGTAGTAGTGAAAGTGCTTGGGTCAAGTATGTGAAATATCCAACCCTCTGTCAATATTTCCTGTCATAAGGACAAAGGATGATTTCTTACTGAGATAATGCTGTTTCTGGGGATTGGATAGGGTTTTACACAGGATTTTTGTAGTTTATCTGGTTGGGAAGTTTTAAAGTTATCAACTATCAGTTGTTTTTGTAAATACTATGTTGATGAAAATATCTTTAATGAAGTCGGGTATAGATTGGTTTGGGAAGGAAAAAACTCATTCTGTACAATGGAGACACACAAGAGGCTCTTCTCTACTACCTCACAAGTGTTTTAGATATTTACTTTACACATTTGTCTTTAGTTAACTTGGAATCAACTTTTTGTGAAAGTGTGAAGTAGGAGTCCAGTTTAATAATTTTTTTCACTGGAATGTTGTAAGGCTCTATTCTGATTTTTAATTTGCCTAAACCTGTGCTAGCGTGCAATTACTCAAACTTGTATGATTTTAGAAAGTTCTGCTCCCTCAGAGGCAGATGCCTTCCTGTGTTTTGCCTCCCACCACCTTATTTTCCTTCTACAGGAGTGTCCTGAGTAAGTGTTCTTCACCATTTTCATTCGACTCATCTTTTAGAATCATGTTGCCAAACTCTATGTCATAAAAGTAAAAACACAGATCCCACTGGAATTGTAGTTGCTTTTCATTAAATTGACAAACTAATGTGAGAATCACAATTTCTTTATGTGAACCCCTGCTCCTAAGCATTTTGCCATTTATGTGGGCCTTCATAAATATCTTTGTGGTCCACTTTTATAATTTCCTCCCCCACAAAGGTAGGAATGGGTGAGAGGCAGAAGAGATATTTCAGGGAATAGTTTCAGAGTTTGGTGTCAACCAATGAAATCCAATGACCAACACCATTTAGCTTGGGCAATCCAAATCACCAATTTGGGACAAAATAAAATTAGTCATTTAATTACTTTTCTCATTATCTGGAAGGCTGGGGCAGACCTTGAGTTATATATGTAATTTCTTGAAATAACAGAAAAAAACATGAAAAAATTTTAAGTATTAAGTCTTACAGGTCAATATAGAAGTGCCTGTACATAGTTAAAAGGTAAAGGTAAAGGCCCTCCTGTTGTTCATCGATTTGCTTGAGCGGGCCCAGTAACGTCTCCATTGGAGACTTCGTTGTTACTGTGCTTGGCATATTGAATACATCACGGGGAGCTCGCCAGGCTCTGCCGTGCAGGCGAGATACTCTCGGTAGCTTGCCAGGCTCTCCGAGAGGGGTGGAGGAATCGAACTCGGGTCGGCCATGTTGGCTGCGTGCAAGGCAAACGCCCTACCGCTGTGCTATCGCTCCAGCCATAATCAAGAAATTTAAAGCCATTAAGATCCAATTAACTAAAATTATAAGCAACTCAAAAAGAGTTCAAGACTTGATGGTTTTTCTAAGTAATTTTCTACACATAAGTTCTGTTTGTTTGGGTTTGGGGCCACTGGATTGCTACTTAGGGGTCATTCTTATCAGCAGTGCTCAGGGGACAAAACAGTACTAGGAATAGAATCTGGATTTCCCATATGCAAAACAAGCACTCAGCCCATTTAGTTTTCTCTCCAGCCCCCTATTGTATCTTTCTTATCAGCCTTGACTTTCCCACCCTGTAATCCCTGCTGGATCACTTCTGTACACTTTGCTCAAATCTTCACAAGATTCCAATCATAGGGCAGTTGTCCAAAAGTAAGCATTTAGCCCCAGTGGTAGCCTTTATAACCAGTCTCCTGACCCATTTTCATTCTTTAATGTCTGCTACACAAAGCCTTGTGTGAATAGAACTTAAGGACCAAAGAAAACGCGGAGAAGGAAACTTGCAGATGTCAAACCTTTGTAAAAACAGGAGGAAAAAAGGCAGAAGTGGTTCCATCAGGTCTGCAGAGATATGAAGTTGGACTGTGAACCTGAAAAAACAGACACATGGATCAAATTCTAAATATATAAATTGCTGAAAGATGGGCTATAGAAGCCTTTCATTATTGGGATCACTCCACATGAATGGGGTGAGTGAATGAGAATCTCGCCATATATCATGTTGCTAGTATAGACTTACAGTACAGACACTGTTCTCTTTTCTCATTTCACATCTGTTACTCTTCTCTAGTCGCAGAGATATTCAAGGTAAAATTTCCCTGTCTCCTTAGGGATCCTTGAGCTTTTAAATGCTATTACCAAATGGATTTCTGTGTGTGGGATGTCCACAGGGGTCTGTTTAAAACTTCTTACTATTTTATACTTTATTTTTAAATACAGCCTGAATTCACTGAATAAAAAGTGCAAATTATTGCCAGTAGAGTGTAAAAGATCAAACATTTACCTATCATATTTAAAACTTGAGTCTTTCACAGGGGATGGGGGATGTGTGTGTTGGGGAGGAAGCAGGCACTCAGCAATGTTCAGTGCTTGTTCCTGGCTCTGCACTTAGGGATCACCCCTGGAGGGCTCAAGAGACCCATCCAGGGTACAAGAGATTGAAGTCAGGCTGGCCATGTGCAAGGCAAGCACCTTATCTGCTGTACTATTACTCCAGGCCAAACTTGAATCCTTTTGGATATGGGTAATATTAGAAAGGAACTGTGGGGGGTGATTAGAGGGAATAAATGTATGACTTTTTTCTTGACAAAAGAAAGTTTCTGAAAAAAACTTTATAGAATGGCACATAATTCTTTGGGCGTAACTGAAGGACTCACCTGACCAGAAACTACTTCTTTGTTTTATAATCTTTTATTTTCTAATTCTCTGAATTAATTCATTTTCATATAATAGTTGTTACTTGGAGAGCCCAGCAAGCTACCGAGAGTATCTCGCCCACATGGCAAAGCCTGGCAAGGTACCCATGACATATTCGACAATGCCAAACACAGTAACAAGTGTCACAATGGAGACGTTACTGGGCCCATTCGAGCAAATCGATGAACAACGGGAGGACAGTGACAGTGACAGTGACTTCTATAACACAAAAGGGCAGTGATTTGATACTTTTATGTTTAATATGCCAGAGGACTTGTCAGAGTCAGAGCAATGGCCCTTGATCTCTGTGAGGCTGTAGGAGAATGTGACCCAGCGTTCCTAGGTCTCCTGCTCACTGTCATTTGAAGTTCAAAGAATCTCTGAACTCACTTTTACCATAGTAAAAAAGAATACAGTATTTTATTTAGTCATTTGCTCTTGCGAGGCACTGTATTGGTAACGTACAGAGTATTCCTGGCAATACTGAGAATATGAAGGTATTATCATCTTCATTTTACATATGAAGACACTTGACAAAGAGTTCCATCTCTTGCTCAAGAGATAGAAAAACCACTTTCTTGGTAAGGGTTTGTCTCAGACTCACTCCCACCAGGTGGGGCTTTATATCACCTCACCTACAACAATAAAGTAATGGCATTTCTCTGGACACGTCTTTCTCCTGAGAGTGATGAAAATAGGACATATATTATCCACTCAGTGCTCCTGCAAAATTTAAACTATTTCAGCATCACCATTCACATTATTTTAGTATCAGCATATTTACATGCATGTGTGTTTGTGTTCTTAGATTTCTGATATACCTTAATATAGTCCTGGTAGTCATTAAGTATCTTATGTGTCAATCTTGTGTACGGAATTTAAACACTTTCTTTTTGAGGTCACCCCCAGCAATGCTCACGAGTTAGTCCTGGCTCTGCACTCTGGAATTACTCCTGGCGGTGCTTGGGATTAAATCTGGATAGACCCCGTACAAGGCAAATGCCCTCTCCACTGTACTGGCGCCCCAGCCCTAACTTAAACACTGTTTGGGAAGGAGCTGGTGACTGTGATTCCCAGCCCTGAATGCTGAGCCCAGAGACTAGCATTCATTAAAGACGTTCCCTCAAACATAAATTAATGCATCATGATTTACAGTACCATAATGATAAAGGCTCATGCATACAATGTTCCAACACAGCACACAGCACCAGCGTGTCACTGGCCCACTAATGCCTCAAGGTCTATTCACAAATATCACCTCACTGATTTAGTCATAAATATTTCTATAAATTTCCCTCTACTTAAGGGTTTAAAGAAAACATTTATGAAATAAGCCATTACCCAGTAGCAATTCATTCTTTACAAGTTTATAAAATCAAATATCTTTTCTGACTATTTGTCTATTCCACATATTACAGTGTAGTTATGCCACATACTTCTGTTACTGAAATACTTAGTAGGTGTTCACTAGATGGAGGAGAGGTTATTGCTCATAAAACACATTTATCAGCTGGCACATCAAAAGTAGGTAGGAGCCTTCTGTGAGTGCTGTATTTTTTTGTTTGTTTGTATTTTTTTTCCAATTTGGAGAGGGTTTGATGTGAGTGCTATATTAAAAAAAAATTCTCAAAACACAAAGTTACATATTTTATTTATTTAAAATTTTATGTTAACATGTTACTATTTTTAATATTCTGAATTTTAAAGGTGTTCCATTTGTGTATAGAAAGTAAACTCACTAAAATTACTTACCACATGTTGTGCTGCTTCATCTTAGGTAAAAACAATTTGTTTTTGGCTACATCCAGAGATGCTCAGGAGTTATTCCTGTCTCTGAATTCAGAAATTACTTCTGGCAATGTTCAGGGGACCTTATGGGATGCTGGGAATCGAACCCAGGTCAGCAGCATGCAAAGCAAATGTCCTACCCGCCATAATATCCCTCTGGCCTCCAGGTAAATAAATTTTTAAGAGAGAAAAAATGCTCGGTAAAGTTACAGAACTTGAATAACTTTCTTCTTATTATCTGTTTCGTGCTTAGGAGATGGGAAATTCTTGTTATGTGAATTGCTCTTGTCTTCTAATTTGTTTTAAACGAGGTGATGAGTTTACCTAATTGGAAGAAGGCACATATGTCGGGGGTAGTCAAATAGTTATAACAAACATGACTTCATCAGATGATTGGCTGCTAGAGCCGTTCTGGTGGAAATAAAGATGTTGACTTACTGGTGGTGTGGCTTTGATTAAATATTATTAGTGGATCAAAGGGAAGAACTTTATCTATTAGTTTTCTTTTCTCTAGGTGTGCTTTCACATAAGAAAACACTTAAAGGCAGCGTGATAATTAGAACCAAAGCTGGATCTTTTATTTGAGAAATGCAGTTTATTTTTAAATTTTATTGAAGTAATATTGGTTTCTACTAGTACACAGGGCTTTACATGTTATAATTGGACATCTGTATATTTTGTGTTATATTTAAACCAAGAGGTTTTCTCACAAATTTTGAAGGTGGGTGGTGTCATCTTTTGTCATCTGTAGGTGGTGACAAAAGACATTTACCTGTTGAACAGGGACAGATAATGGTTGAATCACAGCTGTGGTCACTCCAGTCTTTGGAGATGATGATCCTATTGTCAAGGAAACAGAAGTTGTTTTCTTTTGAGCCCTGGAAAATAGGAAGCAAGTGTTTATATTTTAAAAGCAGGATTCATTCCTGGGAACATTTTCACTTTCTTGTGTACTTGATCAATCAATTGTAAGTGCTTTTGAAACAGAAAGCTTTAAGTGACATAATTGTTATGGACAGTCTCTCCATAGAGTGGACCCTACCAGCAAATAAAAGCATGAACAAAATAATGTAGCGGCATGTAGCTCAGATACTGACAGAAAATCTAAAAGATGAACCTGGCAAATCTCAAGAGGAAAAAAAAAACAGCGGGTTCTTATATAATGTGATTTTGTTCAACATTGTTTCATTATAATGTTAATGAGAAAATAATATATTCCAGCTGATGTTGAAAGAAATCACATTATTCAAAGACCTATTTTCTTTATATGTCATTTTATGTAGAGTGGTAGCTGCCAAGAACCTCTTAATATTGTTGGGGACTTACTGTATTTGTGAGAAGCAAAATCTTTAGCAGCAAGCAGATATTTAGACTATTTTGGGTTAGGATTCTATATTTAATTCAAAGATTTAGTGGTCTATTTTAATTCTAGCAGCTGTTCTTTCTTCTAGTTTCTAATTTTGTTGAAAGTAAATTGGAATTGTTGTCTTAGTGAAACATTGGTAAGGGATAAAGACAGAGCTGCTTTATAGGCACGTTTTTTTTTTTTTTTTTCGTAGATGGCTGTACAATCTCAAGAGTAATGAACTTGAAACATCTGAGATCTTTACTGAAATCTGAAGTATCAAAGTATCTTATGATAGCCCTTTATCGCTGATATTGGTCATTTGATGTTAGTGGATAAAATTTATACATACACATACACACATATCAGAGGAAAGGAATTATTACAGTCTCAAAATTCTTAATTTTTCTATAAAATGTTGATGTTTTACATTTTTACAAAAAAATAATATCAACTGTCATCTAATAATCTATATGTTTTCATAGGAAGGTATATATTTTATGATTTTCCTGATAATATCTAACTAGAAATAGACATTATCTAAATATAAACCCACTTTTCTTATTTTAAAATTTGTATATAAAAAAGCACTGTATTTTAAATGTCCTCGTTGAACATTTTTTGTAATGATTCAACTAATGTTCTCACAATATGATGTTTATTTTCATCCATTTACAACCAGTTAATTTGAAACTCACATTATATGTGTTTAGATTTTGACACATCTATGACAAGGCATAGACTTAAAAGTTCAAATTCATGACTTAAAAACTATGTTTCAAGTCCAAATCTTTTTGATCTTTGATTGACATCAGTTGACCTTTTCCTTTAGAGCATAGCACACATGGCTTACATCCTAACATTTCTGTTGACATTATTTGCTCTATTGACAACTGATGAAATCACAGGCACTTACTGTGGCATAGCTCCAGCTTTTGATTTGAAAACTAAACTTTCACTGTCTGAATCTGTTGAGCTTGTACCTGGGAGAGAATGAAAAATGATAATGAAGTTAAGTAGTATCCATTATTGTTTCAAAGAATAACACATTTCATAAAAAAATTAATTGAAGAAATACCAGATTTTACAACTATGTTTCTACTATGCAGCATTATAATTTGACATCTCTTTATGCCGCACTATGATTTCTACCAACAATCTTATTTCCATCTATCAAAATGCAATTGGCAACCTTGATTTAATTTTTGAATAGTAAGACTTATTTGGAAGCAGAGCAAGATTCAGAAATTTTTTTTCATAAAGTCACTAAAGAGCTACTATAAAAAGCTTTCTTCAAAGCATTGCTTCTAATGTCACATTTATTGTTTTATCACTTTGAAAATCTCAACCATACTTTTAAATGGCTTACAAGTGGAAATAAATGCAAGTGTATGTGTGTGCATGTAAAACTTCTGTGGTTTTAATGTTCAACACATTCCCAGGAGATTATGTGGTGTAGATCATTAATGTCTTCATTACTCATTAAGGGATGTTTTTTGAATCGTCAATATATTAGAACATGACAGGAGATAGAACGTTGCAATAAAGTCTCTGAATTTTGGATCAGACTAACTAAATCCTTTTAATTCCTTTTGATTTTCAATTGCACATCATGTGACCAGATTTTCAAAGTGTAGACTCTATTTACATTTTAATTCTCATGAAATTTGTGATGTTCTTATATATGTTTAAATATATTTTTAGATTCCATATTTAGTGATAAAGAAAAAAATTAGATCACTATCTCAGATCATACACAAAAGTTAACTCAATATTGACTTAGATGTTTGACCCAAACATGAAAAATAAATTGAAATGTACACAGAGAAACAGTCCATGATGTTGACCTTAGTGGTTTATTTGGTGATTCAGTTACAACTGACAGGGTAAACAGCGTGGTTACATCAAACTTGAAAGCTTTGCCTGAAAAAGAAAGGTCACTGAAACAAAAAGATCCCACTGAATGGGAGAAAATTTTATATACCAAAACATTTGACAAAGAGCTAATATTAAAATATTTTAAAAATTAAACAATTAACAAAAACATCAAAATCTGGGGAGAAGAGCTGAACAGACACTTCCTCAAAGACACACAGATGGCCAAATAGGCACATGAAAAAATCTGATCATCATTGGTTAAATGTTAGTGGTGATGTGAAAAAGAATGAGCTCTCATTCATTGTTGAAAAAATGCAAACTGGTTCAGCCCTCTTAAAAATATTTTTAAAAGAGAGAGAGACACACACACACACACACACACACACACACAGAGAGAGAGAGAGAGAGAGAGAGAGAGATCTACCATCTGAACCAGCAAATCCACTCCTACATACTAGGCAAAGAATACAAAAACACCAATACAAAAAGACACTGCACACCTATGATCATTGCAGGACTATTTACAATAGCCAAGATCTGAAAACAACCCAGATATCCAAAGATAGATGAATGGTTAGAGATGTGGGTGTTTACCTAAGGTGCAGTGAATACTACTCAGCTGTTTGAACAGTTACAACATGAAAAAAACTGAAGAGGGCCATACTAATTGAAATAACTCAGAAGGAGAAAGACAAAGGCTGGGATACACTCATCTGAAGGATATTGAGAAACAAAGCAAGGGAACAGACAATGCCTAGTGAATCATGAAACACTAAACTCTGACCACGAAGACAGGAATTTAAGGTGCCCAGAAGGGGTGGTGAGGGGGTGGGTGAACAGGTCCAGCAGACTGTGGTAAAGGAATATTGGCATTTTGGTGATGAGAGTGGTGTGATAACAATGTACCTCTAAAACAAAACCATTTAACTTCTGCAAGCCAATGTTTCCTCAATAAGAAATAAGTCAAAAGAAAAATGAAAATGACATAGAAGGATGATGAGAAAGCAGTGTGAGTTAATGAGGAGAGTCTAAAAGAGAAGACTGAAAGGCTACTTTAGAAATTTATACTAAAGAACAGGGTTCAGTAAAAAATAACTGATGGATTATAAGTAAGTTTCTTGGTGTGATGCCATAAATATTTCTGATTAAATCATAAATCTGGAATTACTTATTAAGACAAATCTATAGAACAAATAGCACTAAAGTAACCCAATAGTACAAAAAGCAGTAAAGACTATCAAAATAGTGAAGACCAATGAGGGCTTTCCTGATACCACAATAAACATATTAATGGCCAGGTATGCAATTTTTTCAGATAAATTCAGTGAATTGACATATACAATTATGTCTACATTTATACAAATAGAACCATACCACATGTACTCTTTGCAATTAGTTTATTTGTTTGCTTTTGTTTTAAGTGAGCCAGGGCTCACTCCTAGCTCGGAAATCAGTCCTCACAGGGGGGCTGAGGGGCTCAAATGGAAGCCAGGAATTGAACCCAGATTAGCCTGTGCAAGGTAAGCCCTCCCCCACATTAGTTATTTTTATTTAGCATTTGTACATTTAGAAAATATAAAGTTAATTCTCTTGAATAGCGACCTAAGTTGATTCCTACGATTCGCTGGGTTCCTAGTTCTGGACTGATGTTGAAACCATCCTGTTTAGTAACTCTTCTGGAATGTGTGGTCTCCCTTCTTGTTTATTTTTACAACTATCAACTAAGTCTAGGCTTTCTTTACCTACTTCCTGGACTACCACAATAGATTCTTATCTTGTCTTCCCATTTCCCTGGCTCCCTACAATTTATCTTCAACTTGCCTGATTAATTTTCCTATACACATCTTTGTTGCTTAAAAAAAAACCCAAATGTAGATGACCTACAAGCTTCTACTCAGTCAAGGAAAACCTAAAAGTGTGTTATTTCATGGTCATGAAAATTTCCAACCTGAATTTATAGCTCTCAGTCAGAACTCCCTACAAATCCATGTCATAAAATCATAGTTTGGAGAATAAGATATACTCACCAGTGCATACTTTGCTAGATGATGGAAACTCTGGTATGAACGCATACACACACATCTGTACAGTAACTTAGCTTATTTTCTTTTGAAGATACAGACAGTGAACATGATAACTGGTATGGACATGGTATGGTGGTGAGCGAAATGGGGAAAACAAAATGCAGGTAGGGACATAGGGATTTGTAGGAATTGAGTGGGGTACTACTTTAATTAGGCAGGTAGAAAGGGCCCACTACAGCAGAGATTTTATTTCAGTTTCTTCCCAACCTAATGATTATATTTACTATTTCATCACTATATTAGAAATGATAGCAAACTGTGAGCAAAAGCATGGCCCTTGCATGAAGAACATGGAGCAATGGAGATTTTTGATGAATGAAAGTGGTTCGTGCTTTTAGAGTGCAAATGATTAATCACACAAAGGTCATCAATGGTGAGATTATTACTGGCATCTGTCTGCTGGAATTTACACAGTCAGGGAAAAATGAACATAATGGACATTGGCAACTCCTCACCACTTCACCAGCTACTCTGGGTGAGAAGATGCCAGAGGATTTTACCTGTTGTTGTATGCATTGTGATAGCAGTGCCTGGAATTGAACCGTGGATCTCCCATGTGCAGACCATGCTCTCTAGGGCTGAGCCCCATCACCCCAGGTTCTAAGACAGTGATTTTAAATAAAGGTCAAGGCTGGAGAGGAAGCCTGGGTGGCAGTTGCATGCCTTTGTACATGCGAGGTCCTGAGGTTGATCCCCACCGCATGGTCTCCCATGTACTGCTGGATGACAGCCTGATGGTCCCTGTGGGTCCCTGTAAGCACCACTCCTGGGCAGAAGCATCAGCACCAAAGTGTCATGCTTATACCATAAGTCAGCTCAAGCAGGGCTGGGAGTGGTCCGGGGACCCCCAGCACCACCAGAGCAGGGTCCTATAAAGAAAGTAAAAATGATGTTGTTGGTTGGTGATGATGTTCTCTTCTTGGTCTTCTCCCATCACTATCACTATTACTATTATCCCGTTGTTCACCGATTTGCTCTAGTGGGCACCAATAACGTCTCCATTCATCCTTGTCACGTGCTAGTATAGCTTGATGGCATATTGGGGGCTCTTTCAGGGTCAGGGGAATGAGGACCATCATTGTTACTATTTTTGGCATATTGAGTACACCACGGGTAGATTCCAGGCTCTGCCGTGAGGGTGGGATACTCTCGGTAGCTTGCCGGGCTTTCCAAGAGGGATGGAGGACTTGGGGGCAGCCTCTAATCACCTTTACAGGTGTTCCCGTCAGGCATGTATGTGGGCAAGATACTCCCAGTAGCCTGCCGGGTTCTCTGAAAGTGAGAATTAGTGAATAAGAGCTTCTAGAAGCTTGGTTTTATAGTCTCTGGATCCTGCCCATTGATGGGGTTACACGGCAATTGATGGGTGTTACTATCTAGCTACTGAAAGATGGGAGGTCTGGGTGGAGGAGGCCCAGTCCCAAACCGAGCAGGCTTGGAGATCTCAGCCCCGGGTCCCGCACACCTGGGTTCCTCTGCTGGTTCCTTCATGCATGAGGCTCATCTGAGTGTGTGGAGAGTGGTCTCTGCATGGTTGTGGCTGGGTCTTCTCCCATATTTATGCCTTTAGTTAGAAAGGTACAACTGATGCAGCAAACTCCTAACTCACCTCTCTAGCTAGTCTTTTGTTCTTGTTTTTGTTTTGGGGTCACACCTGGCCATGCTCAGGGCTCACTCCTGGCTCTGTGCTATGGGATCACTACTGATGGTGCTTAGGGGACCATATGATGGGGTGCCAGGATAGAACTTGGGTTGGCTAAGTGCAAGCCAAGTGCCTTCCCTAGTGTACTGTATCTCCAGTTTACTAATCTGTCTCTTAAGATCAACTCTGTCATTTATCGTCTTCTCTAAACTTCGTGCTTACATTATTTCCTTTAAGTCTTGGAATATGCTAGAAAATCAGCAGTTCCTTGAGAATTGGGATGGAGCGAAGAAGGAGCCACTGGTTTTTGCTGGTTTTTTTTGGGGGGGGGGGACTAGACCAGCAGTATGCTGGGTTTACTCTTGGCTCTATGCTCAGG